AGGGGAAACACTGCATGGTACACTTCTGATCCATCAAACTCACACAAAAAATGACAACAAAACAAAATCAGATTGGTAATTTGCAGAGAGAACACTGCAGCCATTCTTTGACCTTCTCTCAGTCTTGGTAAGAACAGCACTGAGATGCAGATCAGGAAGCCAGAAAGTGTGTGTGTAAGGATACTTGAGCAGACAGACAGATACAGTATATCAGACCTGATGTCAAATTCGAATCTGCTTATGTGCAATACAGCATGTAATTATGTGTGCAGACTGAGCTAAATTATTGAAAGTGAAAGAGGTTAACTTGTGAAGAGAGGAGAGAAGAAGAGGAGAGGGATATAAGATGATCATGAGACAAGGGCTTCTCTATTTTTAGATTTGGCTTTCAGTATAATATACAAATTGTTCACGGAAAAAGGAAAGGTTTTTATATAAAAAATGCACTAATTGTTGTCTTTTTGTTTTGCTTACAGTACCTGTACAGCTTGAGGATGAGGGTCCCGTACATGATGCCGAATCCCAGGAGGCGAACCCACCTCAGCAGGATACACAGGAGCACCCCAGGATTAAAGTACAGGATCATCACCTGCAAAGAGCAACAGCACAGCTGGCCTAAATAACACACACAAACACACACTGGGATGCAATTTTGTGTTCTTACAAATGCAGAGTCACACATATTAGCCTCATCTCATGTTCATCATAAATAAATAAATAAATAAATAAATAAATAAATAAATAAATAAATAAATGAGGATGCTGCAGGCAGCTCTACCTCCACAGCTCACACAGACTCCATGCAATATCTCAACTTCGAGTCTAGTTTTCAGTATTGAGGTGTATATTTGCAGGGATGTCTTGACTCATCCCTTTCTGAGTTCTGTAATAAAGTCTTGAATTTAGAGATGGTTCATAAGTTGTTGGCTCACCGTTTTTCTGCCCAATGTGAACCTTTTTACTGCTCCAGAGAAACAACTCTCACATGTGGAACTATAAAAATCAGTGCTTCCATTTGCGCATCCGTTACAGCTGTGTTTCATTTCATTGGCATCCAGCTCAGCAAGATGCCACATTTTAAATCACTGATCTGAGCCTAAGGCCCTGTTTACGTGTGAACGACATCTGAAAATGTTATTTTTTCATAGTTGAATCTGGCAAGGAAACATGAAGGTTGGAATTTGCATTGATCTGCTGTAGTTTCCATGTCAGGCAGGGTTGCCAGATAGGAAATGACAAACTATTGTTCTGTCATTTTGCAATAATTGTTTTTTTAACTCATCATTTGTGCTGAATGAGGTGTGTTTTCTTGAAGATGAGACATGTGCAAGCGTGGAAATTCTTTCTGTCACGATTGGTGGTGTGGCTGGACGCAGAGTTTAGGAAAACATGTAGGGAGACGTCAGCATAAAACGTTGGTTACGTATTGTAACCCCAGATTCTATGAGTGTAAGCGCAGCCCTCTAAGGCTATCGCNCACCTGGACAGGTCTCCAGTTCACCAGAGACACCTGGACAGGTCTCCAGTTCACCAGAGACACCTGGACAGGTCTCCAGTCTCCATCAGGGACACAAAAGAGACAATCAACGATCCACACTCTGTCACACCTAGAGTCACACAGAAGAGCTCCAGAAGGTTTCAAACTGAGAACTCTGGACTCAGATCATCTGCTGCACACAGTTCTGATCATTTATTATCAATAATAATTTTATTGATAATTATCATGAGGAGTCCTTATCTAGGATGTAGTTAGGCAATTAGATATTCATATGTGTAAACTTATAACCATTACTGCAGGTGAGTCACGTAAATTTATGTTTTTATAAAACAAGTAGCCCCCCCAAGACCAATTTCCTAGGGGAAACACTGAAGAGATACTGATTGACCTCTGTGTTTTCTAGGATTTATTGTGCGAATGAAAATCCTGCAGAAGTACAAAAATAAAATAAAAATAAATAAATAAACATGCAACATGGAATGAATAAGTACCTAAACATCCTACTGATGCTCATAGTATTCATTTGTTTGTCTTACTGTATAACCTAGAATCTACTTTTAATGTTGTTATAACTCATTCATTGTTTGACTGAACAAATGTTCTACAACTCAAGTTCCACTAAAAGCTTTCAGGACTACAAGCGAGTGATGGACTTCCAGCTCTGGATCATTTAGCTCATTTCACTAAAAAGATCCCAGACAGGAGCTGAAGTCCCCATCATTATTCTGAGGCCATGTCAACACAAACTGCAGTTTTTATTAAAGGAACTATTAATTTATAGTTTATAAAAAATATCCTCATATGTACAACAATGTTTCTAGAAAAGTCTTCATTCACACAACAGCACTGGAAGTGACCCAAAATCAAAATTAACAATGGCAGGCCATTGAAAAAGGCCAGAACAATGTGTAGAGCAGGGGTGCCCAACCTTTTTTGAACCAAGAGCTACTTTAGAAAGTCGGCAGTTTGCCGAGAGCTACTCGTCCAGTCTCAGTATCAAAAAATAAAAATAAAATAAAATAAACAATTTTGTCTCCCTACTCCCCACTTCTTTAAAGTAAATAAAACAGAACATAATTTGTTGCTAGTTTTATTTAATTTAAAGTATTGTCAAACAAAACTATCTACTTAACCATATATTTACCTACAAAAAA